GCTGCAGGTGTGTTAAAGTTGTGTTGAAGCTGCAGGTTGTGTTAAAGCTGCAGGTTGTGTTAAAGCTGCAGGTTGTGTTGAAGCTGCAGGTTGTGTTGCAGGTGTCTCAGGAGAACAAGCTCCTCTTACAGAAAACATGACACGTCTATAAACCCAACAATGATTACAAACTGCTCCAGTCTGCCCAGCTTCAGCCCCAAAGTGTCAACGGAAACAGAAGCCATGATGGAAACAAAGGATTTAAATAGTGGGCGTGGCCTCAGGATGCTCACATGGTCAGACACACAACCTACAGGCTGTATTTACTGCTTTATCTTGTGCTTTATTAGGTCAGTTTCAATATTTGTGAGATGTGAACACTGATGGGTGTGATGAGTGCTGTGTCTCAGATACAGAMGTACCAATCCCAATCTCAATCCAACAGATTAGCTGACAGCTCTTCTATGATTATGCATCAGTCTGTAGTTTAAGGCGTCCTGTGTTTGGCTGGCTGACCTTCACCTGGCACTGGGTCGGCCCTGACCCTGCAGAGCAGACTTGTTGTGTTCACACAACCACTGGTTACAGATGTTCTGCATCACAGAGTCCTGGGCTTCCTCTGCTGCTGCCAGGACATCCTGGACCAAAGGACCGGCCCGACTGGACTCCAGCTTTACTGCCAGCAGGTAGGCTGGCCTCAGCTTACTGCACACCAGGTAGGCTTTGATCTGTGGACCAGGACAATTAGATTTACATGAATACTGTGTAGAAAACAAAACAAGTTTGCTCTGGATTATTATAAATAATTAAACATCAGTTCTGAAGATACAGCTTCTGTTTTAGCTTAACACTGATCTCCTTCATTTACATGTCCGTTTTGTTGGGATTCTATTAAAGTACCTGTGAAATCTAATTTTTATTATAAACATGAATGCATTCTTGGAAAGATAACCTTGAAAACGTATTAAAAATAAAAACATCACAGCACTGAGTTGAAGACTTGTWGAAATGTTTGCGTGTGATGTAACAGGAAATGATGACAACGTCTGCATGTAAACAGAGCAACTGGTTTGTTTCCCTGATGTGTAACTGGTCACAGTCCTCATACACAACATTTCTGTGTTTGTGTTGGAGGACCAGGTTGTTGGGGTGAAGCGGTCTTTGCTGTAACGTGTTCTGGCTTTGGGACATCATGTTTACAGAATACAGAGCTGTGGCACAGTGGATACACCAGGAATGGTTGCTTTTAGGGAAAATGTCTGCGTTACACATAAATACAGTTACAAAAATGAATAGAYGTCAATACAATGTCCTCAGTTTGATGCAATACAAGGATGTGTGTGTGTGTGTGTATCAGTAAAGTAAAACTGTGAACCATGTTTAAAGCAAACATAAAGACAGCAGTCTGAGCTGACTGCAGTCACAACAATGAACTGGATGTCCACCAACAACAACAGCAGTAATAAACAGATAAAACAAACAACTTTACCTTAGTTTCTATGTTCTTTATCTCCAGAATGAGACTGTCCAGCTCCTTGGCCTACACAAACAAACACACACACAAAGTGAGTTCCTGCCTCCAACGACCTGGTTTGTCTTCTTTTCTTCTGAACCTCCAAACGGTTGCACTGCTCACATCAGCAGGAGTCTTCTCTGCAGCAGTGATGCAGCTCAGGATGAGGGCGTCACAGTCACTCTTGGTGGCGGTGCCAGACTCACTCACACACTTGAGCAGCTGGCGTACAGCTCCAAACTGCCTGAAGCGAACGAGCCTGTGACCCGCTCGGACGTAAACCACCTGGGCCTCCAGCTGAAAGTCCTGCAGGAGCAGCAGAGACCAGAACCTTCAGTAACTCCTGACAAAAACTACAACGTCATGCTGGATTTGAAATGAGGAAGAGTTTACTTTCTTTTTCTATTTCTTTGTCACAGAAACACAATTATGAAACATTTCTGGTTTAGTTTTTACAAAAGTTAGAGAAAACACTTTTATCAGGCACACATTGTGTTTCAGTCTGTGTCTCCTTCCTGTCCTGTCAAACCCAGCAGGTCCAGCTGGTATCTGCTCACCACAGATCTCACAGCTTTTCAAAGATGTTTGTTACAAGCCCAATCCCAATGAATTTGTATAAAACAATAAAGACAGATTATGGTGATGATGCAAATTCTTTTCAACCTATATTCAGTTGAATACACTCCAAACACCAGATATTTAATGTCCAAACAGATGAACTTCATTGGCTTGTTGCAAATATTAATTCATGTTGAATTTGATGCGTGCAACATGTCCATAAAGCTGGGACAGGGTCATGTTTACCACTGTGTTCCATCAGCTGTCCTTTTAACACTCATTAAACATGCAGGAACGGCTCAACAGTCTGGGWGTTCGTTGTCAGTGGTGGGCACCAGTCCGATAAAGTGCAAATCCACTAATTGCAGACCTAAATATTTTGTTTGCACTTTAGCGGTCTTACTAATTTTTATAATTCATAAGC